AATTCACGTCACTTTGCTTAACGTCACGTTCTTCATTTGTGAAGTTTATAAATAGAGAATGATGATAGAGTCGATTAAACATTAGATCGCAGAATGGAAAGTTCAATGCGTGCGTTAATTGATATCAAAGATTATATTTCACTACATTTATGTATTATAAGTAATGATTGCATTTAATTTAAACAAATTCTCTCAAAATGTAAAATATTTTTACTCCTAGATTTCGAACTCCGAACATACATAGCGGCAAAAAATTGCTCATCGACAGGCGATAGCGCTTCCAATTATCGCTATAAGAAGATTAATCTTCTCTCTGTGCACAAATATTTTAAGAAACATTCCTAAGAAAACTTTAGATTTTTATTAGCGTGAAATGTGTTTGCATCGCTGTACACAGAGAAAAGATTGATTAATACGCTGGAAATAACGCAATAAGACACCACTTACCGTTTAGGCCTTGTTTATTGGTGCTGTTTGTTAGAATACATCGATTTTACATTCAATATTTTCTATACAACAATTTCTGCCATATTACACATTTTCTCTATACACATCATACATACACAGAATAGTTATTTTGTATTGACACATGTCGACTAGATCTTATAACGTCGTTTTACTTAGGCTGCAAAGCACTGATTTAATGCGAGAAACAATTTCAATTCGCGACGTATTTCGCTGAATGAGAAATACGTTCGCTGTACAAATTGCATATTCGTTACAAACCAATTGACATTTCGTCTCCTCCGTCTATTTTTTCCGAGACTGTTTCTGGAGATCTGTTCGAAAAATATGTACTAATTGACGGATCTATTCTAACGTACGACGTCGATTGTTGACATATTTTCCTGCAGGCTAACTGTATTCCGATTTGTCGTAACCGAATCTAATTGTCAGTACGAATTTATAGAGTTCATGGTCCGATACGCAAAGAATTGCGCTTTTCTTCAACTAGGCTCATATCGATTTATGAGCGATGTCTATTGCATGCAGTGGTTGAATATCGGCGATTACATAAATATTTGTCTTAGGTAGATTTGCTGTCTGATACTTCGAAATATTTGCAGACAGATGAAGTACTGAGAATTATATAAAGATATTAGCGACTCTTAACTGATTATGCGTCTTAGCATTGCCAAAATATTTTATATTAGAAATTATAAGAGAAAAAAACCGATATAGGTAACTCACTTGCAAAAGTTGTTGAATAAAAATAAACTCCAAAGTAATTAGACTAAATCATAAATGAAATCCGAACAATTTATTTACATTTTTTCATATTTCGTCATTCTAAGTACTTTAAATAATTAACGATGCTCTTTCATTCAACATGCCTTTAGAATATATGTATAAAATAGAAATGATGACTGTTAAAATTAAAAGAATAATTGAGTGATTCGTCCATGCAACTAATATATTTTACTCGACAATGAGCGAGTAACTTTGTAATAATAAGGCTAATCGGAAGCACCGATTGTAACGCTAAACAGTCACGTCGCTGTCCTTCATAGTGATCTAATCAATTCATTAATATTCCTCTTGTATATCTCAGAGATCATACATATATTCTTCACTTATTATTTTCTAATTTGCCTCTGTATCTTACATACACACACAGACACACAAGAGATACATATACTATATTATAAACGAACAGACGAACGATGTGCAATATATGTATACGAATGTCCAGTGACACTCGCATTCCAACTTTCCAAATGAAGAAATGGCTCATTAGAAAATTATTCACGTTTGTATTAGAAAATTATTCATGCAAACATTGATGCGTAAATTTGATTTTTGTTCCTAAGACGAGCATATTCTCGTAGAAATACACATAACGAATTATATCGACAGAAGAAATTAATTTAACAACTAGAGGGATAATTTATATTAGAAGAGAATCAAAATTCATAGCTGTAAAATATGCGATTATTTGGAATTAAGAGGAAAGATAGAAAAAAGAAAAGAGTCTTTCTATGTTGAGTACCGAATAGTTGTAAAGATTCGATCATGTAGGATGAGTAACATCTCAATGGTAAACAACAGGATAATAGTATTCATTTTCTGAGATAAGTAAGAAAGAAAATTTAAGAAAATAGAAGAAGAAAAAATCAAAGATAATCACGGATTAAAATGTAATTTAAGTAGAAAGGATACTATATTTCATTAGAAATGAGAGTAAGAAACATATAAAAAAGAATATAATAAAAATAAAACATTTAAATTT